TAGGTTTTGGGATTTTGATTTTTGAGATTTTGACCCAAAATCTTAAGTGATATAGATATTTTAAATTTTTTCAAAACTTTGATTGAAGATATCTCAGCAACCACTTAACCAAAGTCAATAAACTTTTTTTATTTAAATTCTACAAATCTGTAAAATTCAAATAAAAAAAAGTTCATTAATTTTGGTCAAGTAGTTGCTGAGATATCTTCAATCAAAATTTTAAATAGTTATAAACAATAAAGTGATAAAATCGAGATGATTTTTAGTGTAACCATAGTGCAAATAGCAAAAAAGCATGGTAAAATAGCAATTCCCAAATTATATATATATAATATTTTAATTTTGTTGCTAAATTATTATTAAATCTAATTACATTATAATTATCTTTTAAATAGTCTAGTAGGCAAATTTGCCTATTTAAATAATTTTTAGAAAGTTTTTTAAGTTTTTTTAAATTTTATTTAAGCTTAACCCTTCTTATTTATTAAATAAAATTAAAGATATTTCTTTTATAAATAATATCTTTAAATTTTAATATTCTATTTTAATTTTGATTAAAATATTATACTTTTTTTTAATTTATTAATAGTCTTACTAGCATTTTTATTAGATCAAAGCATATATATATACATATATTAAACTATTTAAGCTATAGATCTGATATCTCTTAGTTATCTTTAAGAATGTCCAAAACAGTTTGCTATACTAGTGTTATCCTATATTTACTTCTTTAAAGATAATAGATAACTAAAGTAACTGTAGCCAGTAAATACTTTGTATAATGTCCTGAGTTACTGTATTTTAACTAAGTTAGTATAGCATTTTTACAAAACTTAATAAAGAAGATTTAAAGCAATTTGTAATTACAAAAAAGACAACAATTAAAAGTATATGAAGATACTAATAAATGTTAGAATTTGTATTCAAAAGGTATTTTATTATTGAAAGTATATGAAAATACAATATCGAACTCAAGGTCTATATTGGCTGCTTTTATACTTTACAATTTTTTAGAAATATAACAGTCTATATTTAGTACCTATATTACAAATATTATAAATACCCCAAGCAGCAGGTCTAGAGTTCGATTCCCACCAGAGATATTTTTCAAAAAATAGGCCTGTATTCTAGTAACATTTATTTAACAATTGGTTGGATATATCACCTGTAATCTTGATACTACCATCTCGAAATGGAAGCTTTAGGTGATCTAAAAATTCAAGAAACCAGAATATTTGAAACCTGTTTGGCAAGACCCGAGCTAGAAGTAGTGAAGATCTTTGACGGTACTACAGAAAATTAGAACCAGAGACCGAAGAACCAGACGAACAACCCTGGGGCAAGAAGGGTCCACCAACCTGGCCACCAGAGTCATACCAGAGGAAAAGGTCTGATGCTACAGAATTTGGAACCAAGAGAAGTAAAACCAGAAGGCATTTAGAGCCTAGGTATAACAATTCTTCTGGGATAACTAGTTTGGTAGTTGGGGAGAGATCAGTATAAGGGCCAGTTGAAAGTGGGTATTGGAATCGGAACAAACCTTGTAAAAGGCAAGGAGTAGGTAATAGTAGCAGTGATAAAGACCACAAATACCAGTTCTCGGATTGGACGTAGATTACTGAAAAACCTAGGTGATACATGTGTTGGACATGAACCACTCTGTAGGTTTACCACGAGGATAAAGTAGTTCTAAAAGGCCTTAACAGCAAGAATTCTTTCGGGAAAAGGTGCACTAGCTGCTTCTCCAACTTTTACATTATAAAATATATGATGTCATTTTTTAAAACCTGTATAAAAAAAAAATAATATTAATGTATTCTTTATAGTACCTCTAATTTTAGAGTTAAAAATAAAAAAAACCTTGTAACCAGCCATCAAATGCATTAAATTTTTCAATTTCCAAAGCTACTACAATTTGTTTGGCTTTTTCTTGCAAAATTAAACCAGTTATTGTTATATTATTTTCTAGTGCAAGATCAAACCAACGAGCAAGAGCTTGTTCTAATTGTGGATAATCAGGTGGTCAGTTACGTTTTTGTTGTGCTATAGCACTTTCTTCATTTAATTCAAGCTAATATGATGTTTGTGAAAGAATTTCTGCAACAGTTGACTGCCCAATACCACCAAATTTATTTGCCAATTCCTGTTGAATAAAATTTGGATTATTTTTAGCTAACTGGCATAATTCTTTCTTTTGCTTGCTAGTTAAAATTTTTCAGAGTTTTTTAGATAACTGGGAATTGACTTTTTCTTTAGGTTTATGTTTTGTAAAGCTAGTTTCGTTATCAGACATATTGTTATATTGTTTTATAAAGAAAAATCAATGAAATCAGAAAATAACTTATAATATATATATACTCTACTAATATATATACAAGGCAATTCATTAAAGATATAACTAGAATTTGGGCGAGAATTTATAAGATTAATAATCCTGAATTAGATTTTTGTTTAATTATAGCGATAGGCTTGCTTTATTAACTATCTTTTTTTTTTGTACCTTTAATTGTATCAAGTTCCTTTTATAAATAAGTTTAATTTATACGAATTTGATTCTAATCTAAAACTACTTGTAATTAGCAATTATTTTATTAAGGATTTTTATATTACAAAAGTATATTTTACAATTTAGTATTTAGCTATTTCTATCTATAAAGTTGTGTTCTTACTACATAAATTGTATAGTATTTATTACACAAAACTTTTTTTACCAGGGCATTTATAACTGTAAACATTTTTATCTTTATGATTATACTTAAACAATTATTTAATAACCTCCTAAATTTAGTATAATCCCAGAAATATATTAACATTAGAGTTTCTCGATTCAATATAGTTAGTACTATGCTAGTTTGCATATAGTTAGTACTTTTTATTAATGCATAATAATAATATAATGATAATGATAATTAAGCAGTAGATTAAAACTAATTGAATACCTACAATAGCAACTTATTTTGATCTTTCGAATTAACTATTATTATTGCTCGATCAGAGACTTAATCTTTATTACTAATTTAATGAAAAAACATATGAAGAATAGGTTTGCCATCTTAAGGCTCACCTTAACATAACTAGACTTAAAGACAACAGTAGCTGTACTAACTGTGAAATGCATATAAACTATCATAAAAAAACTTTTATAGTAAAAAAGAGAATCGGATAACTAATCGTAATATTGTGCTAAAGAGAATAACATGAAAAGCTCTATATATATACAGCTCCTTGCACTGCCACTGCAGCCTTAGAGCCTAATTATGAGGTTCTTGCACTGCCAAAGCAGCCGTGAAGCCTAATTTGGAAATCTTTGCACTGCCAAAGTAGCCGTAAAGCCTAACTTAGAGGTCCTTGCACCACTGAAGCAGCCGTGGAGCCTAATTAAAAAGTTCTTGCACTATCAGAACAGCCTTGGAGCCTCTACTCACTTACTAAAAACAGGGCTTACTCACCAAGAGAATAATTACAACTACTTAAAAAACAGATATGACTAGAGAGGGAATGGGAGGGAAATAGAGCCAGCCTTAACACAAAGTAAGTGATAGTGAAAAGAAAGATAATCCTACTACTAACCCAAATCTCTTAAATAACCAATGTACTGATTGAAGACATGCATTATACTTATATAAGCAATCCATACTCCTTATTCCTGACCAACAATTACTTACCACAAATTATTGATAACGATAATACTGCCCTTAGCAAT